AAAACATCCAAATCACTTTTTTTCCTACTGAGTGTTTGCTCCTTGTAGTCAAGCATTGAAAAATACAAAAAAGTAGAATTTTGGGTTTCAAAGCAAAAAAACCTACACAGCATCCTTAAGGGCAGTGGTCAGCACGTGTTCAAATTTTATGTAAACAAACAATTTATTTTACACAAGTTGTATACGTAACTATGGGTTCCATATCAAACCGCCATTTAAATAATGGCCACCAGTATTTGAATACAAACTTGTCAGATTTGTTTCTAAGAACTGAAGAAGACACATACGAAGCTCATATACGTTTTATTGTACTTCTTACCTGTCACTGTGCGAGTATTATTCATCAACTGGGCAGCGATTTTATATCCAACCAGAAATGGTTCCTGGTAGCCAATCATGTCTTGGACAACACTATCACGTGACTGAAACCATACAGTCCTTGTAAGCCCACAGTACACCATTTGATGTAGTTTACAAATATCCATTATATCGTCAATATCTAATTTCTCAGTTACCATGGTATCTGCAATGCCATCATCTTTCTCCTCATCTGACTCCTTGGCTTCCAGGGATGGTGGTTCAGTTAAATCTTCAAAATCCTGAGCAAGATACAAATGAGGATGTTGAAATGCATCAAACAAGGTCTATTACTCTACTTACAAATACATTTCAGATTGCTGTGACGGCAAGTCCTAATAGGGAGGTGTTCAAAATCAAAGCAGTGGTTGTCAGCCCAGTATCCCCGGAGTTATTCAGAGAAATTTAGAAATTCCAAATGCTCAAAGATCAGATTTGAGTTTGCCAGTTTGCTGTTGCCAGATAGCATGTTCACCATCTTCAGGATAAGCATTGAATCACATGTATCGTAGTCTTCTTTCTTCATCGTTGCACAACGGTCTGTCTTTCCCAAGGCAATGTTCTCACTAACAACAGCTGCATACACTGCCATAATATATAGGTTTCTGCGCAGCAATGCTGCCATTGCTGTAGTTGTCATTGACAGTAATGGTGATGTTGCCTGCTTGGTATCTGGTAGTCTCGCACTGAAAGTTGCAGTTTAATGTCAAGAATTTTGTAGTATGTTTGATACCGTTGTGATTATAACCATGTGAGATGATTCTGCCACTGCTGGTAGAACTTTTAAAATGCTTTCATTATTTTTCGGAAAAAAAGTAAAGCATCATTCGGTACAGCAAAACAATTGACATGGGTGTGGTGGTAATGTTCAGTTCCCCAAGTTCCTTTTCTATAAACAATACATCCATTTTCAACACAAGAGTTTGTGGTTCTGATGTATACACTTATCGTGTTTGCAATGGTCTTGTGTTTAAAAAATAAACACAAATGCTGCTGGTATAATAAATTTACCAGTTGAACTTGTTTGTATACTGACAGAACAAATGTAGTTTTCAGGGTGACCTCATTAAAAAACTTGTAAATGAACTTGATAGAGCTCTAGATTGTCCTCAGAGAATAAGGTAAATGTAGCTCCTAGAGAATACTGGGCAGTAAACCATTGGTTTGATTTTGATGGCAATGCTAAAATCTTTCGTAGAGAATGAAAATCAATGCATAAACACCATTTTTTACTTGTATATGGGATACAGAATAAATACTCGTCAACAAATGTTGCTACTGGATAGATAAAGTGACAATTTTAACTTTCAGTCTCCATCTTACCTTATGGAATGTAGGATAACTTTTCTTGAATTCTTTCTCTTCTCGTTCTTCTTCAGTTAATCCATCACCATGGAGTTTACTCTTGTATTTAAATAACTGAGCATCTTCCTCTTCTTTCAATCTTGCCAACTCTTCAGTTTGTTTCCATGACTCCACCAGTGTCCCTAGCAACTGTGTCAGTAGTTCCAATGTCTGTTTATCTAAACGTCCTTTAAGTATTGCATGGTTCTTTGTATGCAGCACTGCAATTTTCAACAATCTAAGAAAAAAACGAGATGCATTTACAATTGTCAGTCAGACCTTTCATTTAAGTTGAAATAAGCTGATAAAAACATTGAAAAACAATTATTAAAGAAAGCACTAAAGTCAACTGTTATCACTATTCACAATATTAGAATAATAATTTTTAATTTTTTTTTGCAAAAATGTTGATCAAAATCAGTAGAGTAGACATTGTAAAAATAGGACTACTGTAAAATACTTTATTTTAGCTGGAATTAATTTTCGCTGAAAAGACTTTAGGTATTTTGTATGGAATTTATTTTCACTAATTTTTGACAAGTTGAATGTAAAATACAGGAAAAAAGGTATATTCGCTGGATTTGATTTTCATTTAATCATTCCTTTAAATAAAATAATGAAAATTAAATCCAAGAAAAAATAAAGTATTTTGTCAAAAATTAACATGGAAATTGAAGAAAAATACACAAAAAGAGGCAAAAAGTGGCAACTAAATTGTGGTGGAAAGAATCATGGCACTTCAAAGGTTAAATCACAAAATTATACAGTTAACATCACAATGCATTTATTAAAAGTATGCTATTTTTGTTATTCCATTCATGGAATCTGAATAATTTACTCCCTATCATCACTACCACTCAGTGTAATGAAACAAAACGAAGCCAATTTATATATATCACCCATTTTGAAAAAAACACATCCCAGATTGCAATGTAGCTTCAATTACACACTTCAGTACACAATGTGCAGTAAACTTACTTGGCCTTGTAATGATATAGGGGAAGTTGTAGCACACCACCACCATCACCAGCAAACTGTCTGATATGTTGTATATTTTCCACTAATTGCATAGTGTTCTCTTCACACAGTGCTTCAGCTATGTGTATACTCTGTGGCAATGTGACTGTGACAAATGGAAATCTACTTAGTGTAACCAATAAATCCTGTGTATCATGAATCTAAGGTGAAACAGATCAGTGTTAATGTATATAGACAAAAATTACATTTACTTTTTTTGGTATGAGAGAAATTGTGCTTCGGCCAATAAACTTTGAATTAGCATGAACGTCGCCGGAGTTTTTTTGTTTTTAATGAATTTTGAAGTACATACCAGCTTGTCAAAGTAACTGGAGTTTTTTGACCCCAGTTGGTAACTTAGTGGCGGCCATTTTTTAATTCAACCAACATTATCAATAGGCATTTATTGAGCTTGGGCTAGTATAACTATGGACCACTGAGTCAATCTGTATTCAATCGATTATGTTTTTTAATAAATGTATGTGAAGAATATATTGAATACCAAGATAGTTTAATAAAATTATGTTGAATATAATTTGGAAATAGTCTGAAATAGATAATGAAGAGTTATGTCCACCCACTAGAAATCAAAAGTCCCTTACATGCCGTTACCAAATGAAATGACAGGCTTACCTTTCCTGTGTCTGATACAGATTTCTCGATCATCGTCATGCGTTCTTTACAGTACACTGCATGTGCTACTAGTCTCATACCATGTGATAATTGGGACACGCCTGACAGAAACGGGAGAATAAGGTCCCGATATAAAGGGTAATCATCCTGTAGTCGCTTCATAAACTGATGCACTGAACTCTGCCAGGATCTCTCCTCGTTGAGAATAGCGTCGATGATGGAGTGTTTTCCTCTACCAAGTTTGCGGCTATTGATTGCCCTGCAAAGTTTTTGTAGAAGCGTGCGTACCGAGTTGGCCGAGCCAATGCTCGATGTGAAATGTTGCACATCTTGAAGTAAAACCTCAAACTGTGAAAAGTGGAGAAAATCAGATGAAAAATGCTACAAGGCGGTCTCTGTTGGTCTCCAAAGAACATTTAACAATGAATAAGTACAAATGTATTAGTTTACCCTTTGCAATAGCTTATTAACACATCAGAAAGACTTCATAAAAAGGATACAAAATATTAAATATTTTCTTCAAAGGAAATCGCACAAAATATAGTCATTGAGCATTTCCAGATGTTAAGTCTTCCCTTGTGAAATACTGATATTCCTTAAACAAGCAGCATGTCAGCTGAGATAGCTCTACTGTTAGCAATGCACATTTCAATTAAAGAACTGAAGATATCATTAGAAAATGAACAATATGTACAATATCAAAGCAATGTGACTTGCTGTTTTCAACAAGAATTTGAAAATATCACTTTTTACCAAAAATGACAAAAATATTCACCAAAAATCGAAAATTTGAGATTGACATGAACAAATCTGAGAACATTCTGACTCGCGGTTTCGAAGAAGAAGTTGAAATTGTAAAGTTGACGACGACAATCAGTAATATGAACTGCTCCGCTATGTCGACAAAGTCGACAGTGGAGGTAAAAAGAGGGGCAATGTAATTTTACATTACCTTTGATGGTGTTGGTCTGATTGCAGTTTTCTTTGTAAGTTCTGTAGTAATTGTCTTCAAACATTCTTTTCTGTGGTTCAAGTATCCAATCCTGGGTGGCAAGGTGGACTCTCTGTAGTCAGTCAATGATAATCCTGTCAGTAACTGTGATGACTGATTTCTCACTTCAAGTTCATCACTCAGTTCTTTAATCTATGAAATATGTAATATATCTTTCATAAATCTGAAGTGCAAACTGTTGATACCATGCTTTGACAGGCCATAGTTCAAAACCTATTCTTATAAAATTTCACTAAGGCCAAAAGTTGAAAAAATGTCAAAAAGTCAAAAATGAAAGATGCTATGTGAATTTTTGAACAATAACAGTTTTGTTAACCGTTTATTAAATTTCGAGTTACTAACTCGAAGTTTGAATCATCGTTAATTCAAGTTCAAGTTCCAAAATTTGAAAGGTAAACAAATCAACAAAATATATGTTGCCGGTAACTCAAAGTTTGATTAACTGTTATTTAAAGTTTGGGTCACACAATGTGGATGTTCAACAAAAACCAAAATGCATGTTGCTTGTAACTCAAAGTTCTGTTATTTGTTAATTGAACACAATTTGGGCTTATTTTCTCAAAAGTGGGCATGGTTTCACAAAAGTGGGCGTGGTTTCACAAAAGTGGGCATGGTTTCACAAAAGTGGGCGTGGTTTCAAAAATATGGGAGTGATCATTTTTGTAATCTATGTTATCGTAACTCAAACAAATCAGCATCTCCTGTTAAACAGACCATTGAATGAACCCAACATTAATTACCTCATCAGCTGTATACTGAAGTTGAATGGCAACTTTTTCTGCTGGATCAACAGGTCCCTGAACAGCCAATAACAGTGTTTGTAGCAAGCCAAGTTTGACCCAACCTATCCCACAATTCAACTGGTCAGTCAGGTGATCATGTGACTTGTTCCTACTTCCTGATTGGTTGGAGACGTAATCAGATGCTTGTTGATTGGCTGAAAGTTCAAGCTTCAAACAATCAATGCATTCTGTCAGTAACTCTCTGGCATACACAGGTAGAAGTGGTTTACTTTCCACTGTCTCATCAAGTCTTGAAATAATACTCGGGTCTTCATAATTAAAAGAACCAATAACTTCTTTCAGAATTTCAATTGAGAGATGACAATTTGCTTTGTCACTGTTCAACACCGACACAGCATGTAAATACTCCGGTGTACGCTCTTCTGATACAAATGAAGAGAACGCAGAGAAAAGATTGGCAAAACTTGCAATCAGCATCTCCCAGTTACTACGCCTGCGATAAAGAAAAGAACAAGCATGGTTTGAAACAAGATGTGTGTTTGGTTTTGAACACGACAAGGTCAAATGCGAGGCTACTTTGTAGCTCCAGTTGTCATGCATTCATACATGCCCATATATGGATGCAAGCCAATAATGCAATTGTTTTACTGCTTTCAATGAGCAACATAATTATTTTCATATTCACATCAATATATCTCAGGACTAATGTATATGTCAAGCTGCTTTGAGTGCCAAGTCAGAATTTTTCACCAATTACAAAAAAAATATATATACATCATTTTTTTTCCCCCGCCAATTTCGAACAAAACCTGTAGATTTCAGGAAATTATGTCCATTTGGTTCAAAATTAACAAATAATTCAACAAGCAGCCTCTCTGCTGAGATAGCTCCGCTGTTAGCAATGCACATTTCAATTAACGAACTGAAGACATCATTAGAAAATGAACAATATGTATAGTATCAAAGCAATCGAACTTACAGTTTTTAACAAGTGGAAAATATCACTTTTTACCAAAAATTACAAAAATGTTCACCAAAATTAGAGAATTGAAGATATCATTACAAAATGAACAAATCTGAGAGAGGTCCACATGTAGTACCTATATATGTACCAGTAATATCAAAGCAATTATTGGACTTGCGGTTTTCAACAAGAAGTCGTAAATATCACTTTTTACCAAAAATTACAAAAATATTCATCAAAATTAGAGAATTGAAGATATCATCATGAAATGAACAAACCTAAGAGAGGTCTACCCAAGGTACATATACATCAAGTATCAAAGCATTCAGGCTTGTAGTTTTCAAGAAGAAGTCGAAAAAGTAAAACACGAACGACGGACAATCACTCATATGATAAGCTCCGCTCGACAAAGTCGACAGCGGAGCTAATAAAAATACATATAAATATATTGTGGCACTCGAAGAGTTAAATTGAAAGTCACATGATATTGATACCTATATTCTAGTGTGTTATCACTCAGACAACTTCCATTACACCAAAAGTAGTCAGCCAGATATTGAATCTGATCCAGCTTCTCTTGAAACATTCCAAGATGAAGACCTTCATGAATTCCTGCAGCATCTTTATTTTGAGTCAGTTTTTCTTTATTTCTGGTAGGCTTGCGGCTCTGACACAACAGTTTAAATACAAATGGGGATAACTTTGACAGATACAGTGATCCTGGTCCCTAAAATAAAACCAGTTGAAAAATGATTGTATTTAGGACTTTTTGAGTTATTGTGAACACAAAAATTGTTAACACTGACGTCAAAAATGCCTACATTCCTTCCCCAAAGTATTCTTTCAAATGCTACTGCTACAGGCAGAGGATTGACATTAAATATTTTGTTATGTAAAAAATGAATACAAATATTAAAAACTGCTAGAAATATTATCATCAACCGACCATTTTAAGAAATTGACTTACATTTTCAATGTCAAACGGATGGCTATTTGTCAGGTTCATGGCAACTGTATCCTGCAATGATTTCCATGACAACCATTCCTCAGGATGTTTGGTAACACATGTGAACCACAAATATGACAAGTACTGCAGGACAAGACCAGAAGTATGGCAAGCAATTGAATCCTTATTAAGTGTCTGCAATGCAGTTTGGTATGAAGCGAGATGTTTTGGTTGCGAAGGCAGGAAACGCAGAGAGTAAGCCAAAAATTGATGGATGTATTCTTGTAGGTAATCTTGCGGAGTTCTGTGAAAAAATGAAAAACAATGTCTGTCATACACTAAGGCATGTACATTTATTAAGAACCAAAACATGTATAAACTCTAACAGCAAGTCAGTGGCATAGCTTGTTCATATACATGTACATGTCAGTTGATGCACAAATGCTTCCGGGAAAAGAGAGATGCCTGTCTACCCAATCCAGTCTCATTTGAATTTTAACAAATTTCAAAAGAAAATTAATGGCTTTATAAATTTATAATCATGCCTTTGCTGACTTCAGTGTACATGAAATCAGGTCAGGTGAGGTCAGATCAGGTGAGGTCAGATCAGGTGAGGTCAGATCAGGTGAGGTCAGATCAGGTGAGGCGAGTCAGGTCAGGTCAGGTGAGGTCAGATCAGGTGAGGCGAGTCAGGTCAGGTCAGGTGAGGTCAGATCAGGCGAGGCGAGGCGAGGCGAGGTCAGGCGAGGCGAGGTGAGGTCAGGCGAGGCGAGGCGAGGTCAGGCGAGGCGAGGCGAGGTGAGGCGAGGTCAGGCGAGGCGAGGTCAGGCGAGGCGAGGCCAGGCGAGGCGAGGTCAGGCGAGGCGAGGTCAGGCGAGGCGAGGTCAGGCGAGGTCAGGCGAGGCGAGGTCAGGCGAGGTCAGGCGAGGCGAGGCGAGGCGAGGTCAGGCGAGGCGAGGTCAGGTCAGGTGAGGTCAGGTCAGGTGAGGTCAGGTCAGGTCAGTTTTTATTTAGCTATAATAAAACCATCTTGAATGGTTTTCAAGATTATCGCATTATTTTCTTCATACCTGTTTATCGTCCTCAGCAATGAAACCAATATTCTGTGTTCCTGAAGTAATGAAACATGTTGATATATTGGCCAGAGTTGAACACCGGTTTCTATGGCAACACTTGATTTCACACAAGTCATCTCTGAAGAGGAATCGTCAACATCCATGGCAACAAGCGTACTGTCTGGATCATCATATAGTTGATTCTTGATCAAGCAAGATTCCACTTCAGCAATTTTATCTAGTAGGGTTTCTGTAAATATTTAAAAATTAAATTCAAATATTGTGGAAAAGTGCTCCTGCATAATCTAATGCAGATATTATATTTTTATGCTCCACTTTTTATTGTAAAATTTTTTTAATTAAATCAGAATCATAAAGAGATTGTTATATACATGGGCACTGAATGCAAACAAGTTTTCAAACATTACCTATATTGTCTGATGCTATCTCATTTGAATGGTATGCATCCACTAAAATCTCAACAAGGCTACTGACAACTTTACCGCCATCACTGGAATTCATGAACAGTATTCTTTTATCTTGTTCTTTTTTGATCTTCAGAGAAGCAATATTGTTACTTCCTGCGTACACATCAATGCTGTGACAGAGTCCATACACATGGTGGGTCAAGTCAGCGGCAACAGACGTCTTGTACGGTATCGGCTGTCCTAATATAGAAAATAATAGCTGCTGTGACTGTCCAATTCTGTCATCGGCACCGAGCAGAGGATGAATACGATGCACGATAGTGCTCAACTTTGCTGGCAGTCTAGGAAAAAACATTCAGATTAGTACTGATGATGGGCTAATTTCATGCCAATTTAATTTGAGATATTTTTTCTAAAACTTTATTCAAATTTGTATTTTCGGCAAAATTCCATGCACCATAGTTGAAATCCATTTGCGTGTTACCGTAAAATCTGTATCTCTAATATAAGTCGCACCCATTCCTTTCGAACAATTGAGAACAAAACAATTACCATTTTTCATATGTGTAGATGCTCTAATAGAAACCGCATCCCCTCTGTTGTATTGTACTATTTTAATAGAAGCTTTTAATACAGATTTTACAGTACTGTAGACTAATTGAAACCTGACTTATTGCGCTGATTAATCATATTATCCCGTCATACTATAATGTTCAAATTCTGCTTAGCTGCACACCAAACACAACTAAACCTAAAAAGTATTCAGAGTTCTCTCAAACACAGCAGATGAACTTAATAGCTGTACAGAAAATGACTCAGAGGTCTGGTGTGCATCTCAGAATGAGATTAATCTTAATGAAAAAAGCAAACATTTCTGTCAGTTTTGAACAGAAGCAAAAACAAGTTCACAGTAATTTACAAAATGATTTTTTTTATACTTACTGAGTGTTGTCAACAGTTAATATTGCTGGTATGGTAAACAATGTATTCTTGTAAAACCAGCTCCAGTGGAGCTTCAGCTGGGATAATGAAAACAGTCGCTTATCTTGTATTGTTTGGTTTGCCACATCCCATAATTTATCTCTCCAAAGTAAAGCTTCAAATACCTATTGTAACAAAAGTTAGGAAATGTTCAGTCATTTACATCAATGATGTACGGACAATGTCTGCCATCCTGGATTCTAATCAATGAAACATTTTCCAATTTTTGAGAGTAGAAACGAGATTAACGATGATAAAAGTTTTACCTTTGTCATTTGTCTACATGTCAAAATACTGTCAGACAGGATGCAATCATCAAAATGGTGGTCAAAGGTCACGAAGAAAGGATGAAGATGTGCTAGGACTGGTTCTGGCAAGAACTCCATAGTAACAAAACCTGTTTGATGAAGAAAGTAATTTAATAAAGTTATTATATGCAACATACATACATACATCAATAAAAAGTGTGCCTGCTGGCAAAGGCAGACAATGTTTGAAGGTGACTGACAAACAAGCCAATGGGAATAACTTGTCTGTTAATTATCCTCCAATTACTATAGCACATCATGGGAAGATCCAGAAGTCATGGAATATTGAAAACCGGATGGCAAAGATGTGCAGCAAACTGAAAATACTGAAGATACAACTGTATGTAGGAGTATCTGTAATCTGCTCATAGTGACAATGCACAGATTCAAATGTAAAATGTCGCCTGGACACCGCCAGTACTGCCTGGACACTGCAACCAAAAGTAATTTTGCCTATCTGTCCCAATCTGGGACACATGAATGTGAATACTCACTTTCTATATAGAACTAGAGACATAGACACACAGCATGTACATTGTACACTTGCTAACCTTTATTGAGTGCATACGATAACTGGATAGCACTGAGTGCTTGTTGTTTCTTATCAACCATTTTATAAACCATATCTTCCATATACTCTCTCAATGATCTCTTCATCACAATGTACAGTCTGAAACAATAAAATCAATAATTAAAAATTAATACCACATTCAATTTAACATGAACCAATAGTTGTGTTAATGCTTAATAGACTTGATTGTATGAAAATAATGTTTGATTCCCGATTTGCATGATATACTACCATATATAGACATGAATACATCAATTTGTGTCACAGCTCACATGTGAGAAAGGAATCAGGCAATACCTGTATGTTATTGTATTGAGTTGACTGACATCAATACTACTGCCAGCAAGCTTAAGCTTCAGTCGTGATTGCATCGATTCCATACTGGTTAGTACTTGCGCATTCCATTGTGAATCGTAAGGAAAACTGTACAGCATATTTAAATCTAAAAAACAAGAAATGCATTATGCATTAAATTCAAGTGCATAGCAGAAAAACTGCAGTGGGGCTGTGTATTTAGGTTTAAAATTACACAATACATAATCAGAACATTTACTGTGACCTCGACTGCAGCATTTTCCAAAGCTGTTAAAAATAGACAGTGGAAGATGTAACTAGATGTAACTAGATGTCTGTTCAGATGGACAATTACCTTTTTCAGAAAGCCCTGCTTCTCTGTAGAAACTCCACAACTTCTGCATCAGTGGATGGCCAAATACTTTCTCCATACAAAATACAAAAGCATCAGGGAAGTACTGATGGAATGTGACTTGATTTAAAGAAGTAGCGGGTCTAGTTAACGCTAGTTTGTGTTGTATTGTGTCACTGAAGTACTGTATTCTTAGTTTCCAGTCACTTAATGTAGCCATTTCAAAAAATATCAAAGTCGCTGGAAGTAGAAGCGACTCTAGAGAGTTCTTCTCAGTTTCTGATGTCAACTGTTTTCCGCTTAACTCTATTAAAGATGTACAATACTTTCTGCAAAATACAAAATATCACAAAATATCACAAAGCAATACTTAGATGGAAACATAATTGTTTAATAAAAATTCCAACAGTCAGTATCAGTCAGCAGATGTTCAGCACCAATATATAGCAAATTTGATCAAAATCTGTTCTGAAATTTTTGAGATTTTGCTCAGACAATATTGACAACTGAAATATTACATAATCTTATAATCACAATTTAGTATTAATAGCCATATATGGGCGTTGCACAACGTAGGAAACAAACAGCCATATTAGGGCTACAATGTTATATTATATGTCTTTGATGATATACATGTATTCTAGTTTCCTAAACAATTAATTATATACTGTAAAATGACTAATTTTCACTGGGTTTAAATTTCACTGATTTAGCATTTCAGACATATTTAGTGGGTTTTAAATTCATGGTCTTATCATTTAGATAATGTGTTCTATGCTAAATTTTACATATTCACTGGGTTTTAATTTAGTGCATTTTCCAGTCAGCGAAAAAAGCGAAATTAAAACCCAGTGAATAATTATCCCCCTTTATAGTATATCATCAGTTAAAGGGGCACTTCCAGTTAAGCCTAATCTTACAACAAATTTACTTTCTGGATTAAAATAACAATGGATAACAATAGATAGATTAACTTTGTAAACAACGTAAACAATAGTGTCCCATGATTCTTTGGTGCAATCCATGGGCGGGTTTCCCTTTAACAAAATCCAGCCATTCGTTTTGAGCTCGGGTTTCTGGAAGTGATTTCAACATAGCAGCAATAAATACATGTTTCACTTGCCCACAAAATACCCTTGATGTCCCTATTCTAGATCATGCATGAAATTAAATAAACTTATTTCATAAATGAAGCAATAATGCCTGGTCATAAGTACAGTTCAGAATAATAGTTGATAATCACACGTTGTCATAGCGATTCTGATGTAATACATTCATCATGACTGTACACATATGAACACGAGGGAGATACAGTGGCAGAGAGTAAAATGCCCTCCCAAACATCAGGCAAATCAGTACCACAATATCTAGACAGTAATGTTTACCTTTGAGTACATGTCATTGCAAGCTGGTTCATAAGATGAAACACTACCACGCCTTGTCTCTGAATCATGGCCAACTCGGCATTGGTTGCACAGTCTAATACAGATGGTATGAAATCCGGCCACTGACCAGCATCCACTAATGAGGAAGAATTATTCAATTTCTCCATGGAAACGAAATCAACATCGCTGAGATGCTGGTCGATAATTTCCTTAGCAACCTTAAACAAAGCAACAAATTATTCAATTGTTTAATAATTGCAGTTCAAATCAAGATGATATCAAAATGGCACCAATAATAATGTACAATACGATGGTCGGTAATACAATGGTTGGTATCACACTCTTACATTGTTGTACCTTTACCATTTTTCTTTCAACGAAGGTATGATGCCATAATTCTCATTGTACTACAGATAGATATTTTTACAGATATCCAAAATCTACCATTATATTATTTTCCAGTGCTGTTTCATAGGAACATTGCCGGTGGCGTTTGTTTAGACTTGGCTTTCAAACCAGACAAGCCAAAGCTCCAGGCCACAACCATTTTTAAATGTAATTTACAAATTAAAAATGAAGCATGGTTTGAACTAAAAGAAATGTGTGAAACACGAAAATGATCAAATATTTAATTCTACAATCATTCTACCATTGAACACAGTAAATTATTATTTGATCACAGCATGTAATTTCATTTAAAATTGGAACATCCCTGTCGTATATAGCGAGACATAACGCCTGGTCATCAGTACAGTTCAGAATAATATTTGATAATCACGCGATGTCATAGCGATTCTGATGTAATACATTCATCATAACTGTACAAGAGCACAGGTCACATTAATAGGTGTTTTTCCGTACAATTGCGAGATCTCGCAAGATGCATGAAAGACGCGCGTCGAACGTCTGCCGCAAAAGTCGAACGATTTGATTTTGAACTCAAATTTCCTTATTTCGTAACTCATATCCACCGGCCGATCTTCGACAGAGGAATATTGCTTCCAAATACCCTTACTTAATCGAAATTGCCTATCATCAAATGTGGACAGCACATTATTAAATACTTTCGCGTTTGTCGAATCCCACTTGATGTTTGACGCCACTACGACACTATGACCTTTGTTTGTCCTGTTTTTACGTTCGATTTCACGCATAACGCGCGATTCTCGCAGTGAACGGAAAATGGTCTATTGCACCACTATATGTTGATTGGTCAGCCAATGTTTATCTCATGGGAACAAACTGTTTAAATACAAATAAACTTGCACAAAACTCACTTTTCTATTTGCATATGACCTTTGACTTGCAACATAAATATTGCGACATGCAGCGACCATTGCAGATGCAACATCATTTCCTCTCTGGAGTTCCTGCACAGTGAGAGATGCAGCATGTAGGAGATCTAACAACGAACATGGATCTGGGCCTGAAATCAAATCAATTGTAAGATATAGAATGCTATGAGCTTCTGTCAAATTGGATCTAATACAGTACTACATGTATATAAATTGACTAATTCACCATCAGCAATTTTTGATCTATTAAAATGCAGCAAAAACAAACCACCAAAGAACTTGCTTTGAGAGCCGATTGATTATTCCACTTGCTTATCACTTGCCCACGTCAAGATCTAGATGAGCTAATTAACACTTTCCCAATGCATAATATTTTGAAGTTTTAATAGCACAGCTTCCCGAATTACTCGACGATTATTAAAAATCAGCAACACAAAGAAATGTTTTTCAGATTAAACTTGTTGCCCACACTTACTCAGATTAGAAAATAAATTGACATGCATATGTGATCTAACCCAATCAATTGGCATTCATATGTGATCTAACCCAATCAATTGGCATTCATATGTGATCTAACCCAATCAATTGGCATTCATATGTATTGAACTAAAGTCTTAATTACCTGATAAGCTAGATTTCATCTGTGTATGCAGGTTTATGAGTAACTCACAGGGCTGTTTCCCAACAAGACCAACACCGTGCAATAACGACTTCAAATCCATGGCATCCAAGTTCCCACCTTCATTCTTGTAAAGAAAAAAACGTGCATTGAATATCATTTTATACTTGCACTGTATATAATAATCCAAGAGCAACAGCTTACACAGATTGTCTGGCCAGAGGGCAACAGTTTACACCCACTGACTGGCCCGAGGGCAACACTTTACGCACATTGACTGGCCCAGAGGGCAATAGTTTACGCCCCTTGACTGGCCCCAAGGGCAAGAGATTACACCAATTGACTGGCCCTGAGGGCAACAGTTTACGCACATTGACTGGCCCTGAGGGCAACAGTTTACGTGCATTGACTGGCCCTGAGGGCAACAGTTTACGTGCATTGACTGGCCCTGAGGGCAACAGTTTACGCGCATTGACTGGCCCTGAGGGCAACAGTTTACGCGCATTGACTGGCCCTGAGGGCAACAGTTTACGCGCATTGACTGGCCCTGAGGGCAACAGTTTACGCGCATTGACTGGCCCAGAGGGCAACAGTTTACGCGCATTGACTGGCCCAGAGGGCAACAGTTTACACCCATTGACTGGCCCTGAGGGCAACAGTTTACACTGATTGATTGGCCCTGAGGAAATGTGCGTGACATATGCATTCAAAGCGCAAGATTATATTTCATTTGCAGCACAGCAGACCATTAACATACATAAAATGTATAGTACTTATGACTGAAACTCAGAGAATGGAATTGCTTTGTTGTCTGCTGTTGAGTTTAGT